CTCAACCCACTTAATCGGCCGGGTCAACGGGCTTAACCGGGTTGACAACCTTTGATACTTTGAAATCCATATATTCTAAAAATTTTGGGTTCCAATTTTGATGATTGAGTCAAATTGATTAATAATAGAGGACTTTCAGAGAGTGGTTGAAATTAAAAAGTCGGTCTTCAGGGTTCCTTTGTGACACACAAGTTTTTGCGTTCAATTATTATTAGGTCAAAGGAAGAGAAAGCTGAACAGATGGAAGATAGGATTGTGGCTATTAATTATTGGGAGTTGCAGACGGAGAAGATAAGCCATAAAAAGGGGTAAATTTAATTTGTTAATACGTATATACAATATAGTACGAGGGCATGTTTATTGTAAAAAATAATAGAAGGGTAGATTGAGAAAAAATGGATAATAGAGTGACAATTTATACTATTAACTCCACATGAAAAGTATAAGATCGTGTTGGTAGAGTAGAATTTAAGATTTTATAATGTTTGGATATTCTTTACTTTTGTACGTGCATTAGTATCTAACACTTAATAGCCCCCACTTATTATTCAAACAAGCCTATACACTATAATAATTTGGTAAAATACACTTGTATGGCCAAAACTTTGGCGTTTGTGCCAATAATAGCCAATTTTGGAGAAATATCACTTCTAGCCAGATTTGTAGTTGTTGTAGGACAAATCTAGCCATTTCCGTTAGATTCTTTAACGGTGTTAGTAACACCGTCAACTTCTTTGATAATTCGCTGACTAGACTCCCACTCACCGCACACGTCAGCGCCAAATAAGCTAAAAGTGGCATGTCATATATTAATTTTATTTAATAATTACAACATTAGTTAAAAATATGACACGTCATTTTTTACTTATAAATATTTAATTAATTTTTAAAACCAAAAATATTTTATAACAAAAAAATTATTACCTTCTCAATCTTCGTTCCCATCTTTATAAAAAAAGCATCGTTCCAATCCAAGAACCCAGCGTCACCGTCGCCGGAAACTTCTCTCACATCCGGCACCTACTCTACTCCATCTCCACGAACTCTCCTCCCTCCAGAACACACCAACCCCCAAGCCCAGATTCATCCACCAAAAAATCGTGGTGAAGAAGAATCGACTTCGTTACCCTTCTCTACGTCTTCCCACCTTCATCTCCTCTTCTATTGGGTGGAACCGCTGGGTAGAATCCTAGGCCTTTGCTTCAATTAATACTCTTCTTCATCTATTTATTCGCCAAAGTGGAGGCATCAATTAATACTCAACTTCATCTATTGATTCGCAGAGAAGAAACGGGAGGAAGGGATTTCCGTATTTGATTTGACGGAGTGGAAGATGGGATCTCGAAAATCCAAAGGCAACGTCGATTATCGATTCAGATTCAAGCTCTATCTCCGCCATAGCTAGATTCAAATTCGGTGACATTCCAGCTCTGGACATGGGCTATTCGATTTGGGGGTTGTAAGACGTCGTCGCTTCCGTGAACTGGCTGCTCACATATGGACGACAAATAAATGAGAGGAGAATGAAGGGTTTTCTTTTTCTTTTTTTAGCATTGGTGTCATTGTGGGGAAGAGAAAGGAGGAGTCTTGTTGTTGTTTGTTGATGGAGAAGAGGAAAGGAGAGGGAAATCAAAATACAGAGGAAAAAGTAGAGGAGTAGGGGTTCAGATCCGGAACCAATCCAGCGACAAAGAGGCACGGCGACCAACGGTATTACGGCTGCGAAATCAAGCAGCCGAATACTACTGCATCGCCCCGCTGGAACCGTCGTCGCAGGCCGACCTCAAGCGTTGCCTTAACCGATTCTCAGGAAATCTCATCACAACCCATTTCGAAGAACAAGATGAGGAGGAGGAGGAGGAGGAGGAGGAAGAAGAAGAAGAAGAAGAAGAAGAAGAAGAAGAAGAAGAAGAAGAAGAAGAAGCATAGTGTGGTAGGGAGGAGGAGGAAAGGCGGCGGTGGTGGTCGGAGAGATCATCGGCTACGCAGCCGTTCAGAGAGAAGGGAAAACGACGATAGAGCCACTTCTCCGCCTCGCCTGAGCAAAGTCTCCTTCCCCTGGTTGAGGATATTTTCCCAAAATGGCGGTGATGGTTTTTCCTTTTCTTTTGATTATGTTTTTATTTAAATTAATTAAAATAAAAGGGAAACTTTTGATCTGGTAGAATTTTTGAATAAAATATGCCACGTCAATCATTATCGTTAGTCTAGTCAGCCCGCTAGTTGACACCGTCAAAGAATTGGACGGAAGTGGCTATAAGTGGTATTTCTTCAAATCTGGCTATTATTTTCACAAACGTGAAAGTTTTGGCTATACAAGTGTATTTTGCCTAATAATTTATACAATAAGCAATATTTTTTCGTGTTCTTCAACATTTGTGATTTCTAGGCATAATTTTTTCATCATTCTCTTGATTTTGTATATACCTTCAATTCCTACCAATTCTATATGATATATATTTCTTTCCAACTCCAAATTCATATCTGACATAAAAGTCCACAAATCTCTTCTAAGATAGGAAAAAGTACACAACAGTAAACTAGAACGACTTGATAACAAATGGTTTAATACACTTGTATATCCAAATCTTTCACGGTTGTGCCAATAATATCCAAATTTTCAGAAATACCACTTATAGCCAATTCCGTCACATTCATTATTGGTGTTAACGTTAAGTCTAACTGGACAAACGGTGGTGTTTATGTGGCGAATACTTATTTCTCAATTCCTCTGTAATTATCCACGTGGATTGCTGATTAATTTAATTTAAAAATAAACAATTAAATTTTCAAACCCCCTCATCTGACCTCACCCCTCGTTCGACCTAGCTTTCTACACTTCTCCTTTTTTTCCTTGACAAACCCCCTAACCCTTCGCCTGCGAAGGAAGACGAAGGCGACAGAGGATGATCGTACATCGCCGACGATCGATCTGTCTCAGACGACAGTCGTCGTATGCCCTGATTTGCCTCCATCCTTCATCGATCTACCTCCCTATGCTAGTCCCGATTCACCTCCGTCATCGATCTACCCTTCTTGCCCCCCTTCCTCGACGAAGACCCTTACCGATTTTGGTGACTTGAACAACTCGCGACGAGCTTAGGCTGACTCCTCCCTAGCTTCCTTTCCGCTGAAGACCTCAAAATCGAACCCTGGAAACGCGAGGAGAGGAGGTCTCTTCGAAGAAACCCTAATCGCACAGAAAAGGGGAATTTCTCGCACCCTCGTCTGTAGCCACTAGTGAGTCTCGCTTTTGAATTGGTAGTTGTGGGTGTTGATTTTCGCCGGAAATTTCTTATAGAAGTGTCCTTCTCTTCCTTTTTTGGTTGGTAACGAGGTGTAAAGACAGCAAACACGACATGACAGAAGAACAAGGGGACCACTCGATTGAATTCCACTAGGGATGTCAATCCAACCCGTAACCATGGGTACCCTACCCGACCGTAACCGGTCACGCGGATAATTACCCGCTTTGACGGGTTAAGGGGCGGGTACGGGTATGGTAATCGATTATACCCGCCCCGCTAACCAAAGGGTCAGTTTCCCTTGAGAAATTTATTTTAGCTTGAGAAATTGAGTTTAGCTACCATTATTGGTGATGAAGATGTAGACGATTATTATGTTTGTGTGGATTGTAGAAGCAAGAACATTTATTATTTGTTTGCTATTTTTATTTGTGTGGATTGTTGACGCTAGAACAGTTACAAGTATTGAGAATTTTTAATGGACAACAGTATGTATGTGCATATATGTGTATAAGTTCATAGTTTAGGATTCGTACCCATGGTTACCCGAATACCCGTGGGTACCCGGTCGGTAGGGTATGGTTATATAATTTTCATACCCGGTGTTTATTTGGTCGGGTATTTTCAAAATCTCTACCCGGCGGGTTAGGAGTTGGTATAGGATAAACCCGCACCCGACCCTACCCATTGCCATCCCTAAATTCCACACCGATTTTGCCCCCAAATAGGACGATGAGTAGCCGAATCTTTTGGAGCAGAACAAGGGGTCCACAAATCGCTTTTGTCGTGAATCTGGGTCGCCGATCGCCAATCGCCAGGAGTCGCCAAATTGCCAGAATCCACGAATCTGAAATCTACACTCGGCGGGAGGAGCTTCAATCCCCGAGAGTATCTTCAGTCGGCGGGAGGAGATTCAATCGCCGGGAGGAGATTCAGTCGGAGGGAGGAGCTTCAATCACCACCAGGGTGCGAACCCTAAAAAAGAAATCCAAAAAAGAGATTGGTCGTGCTCTTCGTGGAAAGTAGAGTGGGTATATGGAGGCAATTATTTTAAATTATTTTTAATTTCTTACGTGTCACCTTTGGCATAGTTGGTGCTTACGTGTATGCTTAGTTGGCACCTAGTCAGCTTGCCGTCAGCTATGTTGACAGAGTTATTAACGACATCAAAGTATTTAACGGAAATGGCTAGATTTGGCAAAGAAAAACTTTAAAACGTGGTTATAAGTGGTATTGCTGAAAATTTGGCTATTATTGGCACAACCGTCAAAGTTTTGGATATACAAGTGTATTAAACCTTAAAAAATAAATATTAACAAATTATCGCTAATGTGATAATCAACATATACCATAAAGATTACTTTGAAATAATGAATTAAATATTTTAGAAAACCTCAAATTATTTAAAAACATGAAGAAATTAATCAACATAAAATAAAACAAAATTCATCTTACCAACAAGTCGGATCCGACCAACGGTCGAGTAAAAGCTAGTAAAATATATGATGGAGATTTGAGTCAGATTTACAATATTTTGAAATTGCTGCCTTGTGAGGGTTTCACGGAAGACAAATTCCATCATTTTGCGTCCCTACATTTAAATGACCTGCTGCGTTTTAATCCCCGCAGGCTGCAGCTGACAATTGTCCCATATATTGACCTAACACCAAATGGATCTGTTATCCAAAAAATTGGGCCGCAAACAGGCCTGTCCATATACCACCCATCCATACTTCAAGTGGGGTGTCATTTTAAGGGGTCCGGATCAGGTCAGTAACCCTATCCTCAGTAACCGTGTATAACCCCTTCCTCTATCCTCCACGTGTCTGCATCTATGTCGTTCCCTTTTATTTAAATAAAACACGGAGGGGCAGTAGGGTAATTCACATCCATCCCTCATTTTATGCTGACGACCTGACGCCTACTTTTGACCGAATATGGACCCCACTCCCCGTCCCCCACACGTTCTCTGTCACTCTTTTATCTATTATAAAATTAAATTATTTATTCTCTCTCCCATCTACAACTGAAAGAGAAAAAAAATTACATGCTCTCTGCACACTAACTCTATCTCTAAAACAAATATGAATTCAACAATCTCAGCTCTCTCTACTCCAACTCCAACTCAAATTGAATGATGATTTTTTCATTTAATAATTCTCTGCCAAGAAGGGTAATTACAAGTATGAATGTGACTATCACTTTCTACTACCATGGTAAAATATGCTAAAGAAAATTACAAATCTAATTACCATACAGTACCATATTGTATAAATGCTAAAATAAAATTAGAAATCTAACTACCATATCATACCACATGGTATAACGTGGTAAAACATGTTACAAAAAATTATAAATCTAACTGTCATACAATACCACCATAGTAGAACATGATAAATCGAATAACCATAAAATAATCATAATTATCATACAATACCACATGGTAAGAGAACGTAAAACCATTTAACAACAAATATAAATATAGTTACCACCATCTACGACCATAGTAAAACATGGTATACATAAAAATACATTTAGTTACCACACATTACCATATGGTATAGTGTGGTAATCTCAATATACACGTATTATTTCATGGGATTGGGATTGAGATTGGGATTGGGATTGAATTTCAATTGCTATTCGGTATTAGGGATTACGGGATTGGGATCGGTATATACCGAAATACCGATCAATACCGAAATATATGCTAGTGTGTATTTTATCCTCTCAACTAGACTCTCTCATTCACTACTACGCGACCCTCAACCACCAAAAATGTCATTTAATTATACATAGATCATTATTCACTATTTCACACTAGTATTAGCCGTCTCTTAACCCCAATTTCGTCAAATTAAAGATTACCATTTACAAGAACTTGAGATGTTAGCTCTAGGCAACTTAAGACTATCTGCTTAGTCTCTTTGCCCTAAATTAAACAATAAAATCTAAATGTGGTTGCCGAATCGTTTAACTTATACGACCAATTGTTTGTGGTCGCTAATTCCTCTCACTTGCGACCATTGGTTTTGGTCGCAATTGATACATGCAGCGACCATTTAAAATGTCCACGCAGGAGAAGCCTTTCAGCGACGAAATGCTTTGGTCACAGATATTAACATTATGCGACCACTTATTCAACGCAAAAAGTGCATTCTAATTGAAATGTGTATATGCTTTGATTCCTAGTAAAATTAGAAAAGAAAACACAAGAATGCTCACACATTACTAAAAATAATTACCATATATTTCATTTCATACTTCATTGTTCAATTGTTTTGACAAATAGTATTTCGATGGTCTACAAACTATTATCTAACTATACAAGTAGCATTTCCCAAAATGTATGTCCACCTAGCTTCTTGTAGTACTCCCCAAAATTATGTCCACCTGTAGCATATTTCAGCACTCCCCCAAAATGTTATATCCACCTAGCTTGAAGCATTTCCCAAAGTTCTTCCAACCTAGAACTTGCATCAGACGATCAATTGCATGGAAATAAACCTGCATTAAACACATTATAGCTATAAGTAGCTTCACAAAAACACTTTCTACAAGCTTACATCAAAATATGTAAAACAATTTGTTATGCTAGATACATATATTTAGAGAAGTCAGATTATATGTGAAGGCAAAAGCCAAGAAAAAACAAAACCAAATGCTTCACAAGAAGTGAAAGGCGAAAAGACACAAAAACACAACCCAGGGAAAGGAAAAAGACACAAAAGAGAAAAGCAAGACCTACCAAACTATACTCACACATGCAAGGGGACAAACAAAGGCAGAAACTAGCTGCACAACAAACTACATCATATTGACTAAGGAAAGGGAAAACAGCAACCTTTCACCTGCAAACACAGTCCTACAATCAATGTTGTCAAAACCAAGCCGAAGCATGACTCGGTATTGTGAACGGCTCGCATTTTAGTGGTCCAACCGGTATTAGACCGTTAAAATTTCGAACGAGAACCGGTACCTTATAAACAATAATATCAAAAGTAAAAGATACATAGGGTAGTAATTTAACAATTTAATGACTAAAATGAAATTTTGTTTGCAAGTACCACTTTGTAATTTTACATTTATATATCAAATTATTTTAGAAACCCTACCATAACCCTCCTTGTAGCAGCCGCCCTTTTTTTTATTCTTCCATTCTCCCATAACCTTGGTCCTTGAAGACTGCCGCCCTTCTTCTCTTTCTTTCTTTCTCCTTCTGTTCAATGTTGGCTTCTTCTTCTTTCTTCTTCCGTTCAAGTTAAGACAAAGAAAGAGCTGGTAGTAGAAGGCACCTGCAATGGAATCTCTTCCTTTTCTCTCTTTTCGTTGTTCACGATTCTGAGTGGGGAGTGGAGCGAGCCGACAATTGAGGGCGTCGCCAACGTCGACGTGTTCCCGTTGGTTGGGTTCCGGCGATATCAACCCAACAACCGTTTTTTATTTTTCAATTTTTTTCTTCTACGTCACAACAGGCAGCCAAGAGTCGAAAACCGGTCGGGCGGTCCGAGTTGTTTGTGTGGTTAACCGCTTTGGCTGCTAACCGACCGCCCATTCTGCCCGCTACGTTTTTAAACTGATCCAGACCGAGCTGGTGATCGGGTGCCGGTTTTACCGGTTGGACCGACCATCTCGGTCCGGTTTTAACAACACTGCCTACAATAGAACACTCGAAAATTTCTATAGCAGCTTTTAATAAAGCAGCGACAACAGTCGAAAACTTCCACAACATCAAGGGTCATGCTACAAAATCTGCAACAAATGCTACTTAAAGCAAGCAACCTAGAGAAGTGAAAAGAGCAACTGGTAAATTCCTCCTCCAGTCAACCCAATCTGAAATTCTATTTGCTGAAATTCACCAGAACGGATCCAAACATCAAGCCACAGTCTAATGGTGACTAATTCATTCATGCAGGTATTACAACATTACCAGCAGCATGACCATATCCTCCTCCGAATCTTTCTCTCCCTTTCCTGAAGAAGTTTATCCCCCAACTTTCCCTAAAAAAGGAAACAAAGATGGTTGAAGGGTTAGAGTTAAAATAAATAGCACACTTTGGGTAAAACTTTTCCTTACATTATAATAAAAATCATAATAATTAGTGCAAAGAAAACAGCGAAGTTGGATGGCATTATATCCAGCCCAATATCACCACGACCTCATTATTATAGATTACACATGATTAGCATAACTAATGATCTATCAACCAACTATTTTCTTCTTTACTTTTCGGGTGCTGATTTGTCATGTAAAACCTGTTGGCTCAACTCGTCAACCTGGTGTTCTTTCCTTTGGCTAGATTAATTCACCCGTAAATTGCCCGGTCGTCCCTCCATCCTCCTCCTAGAACACCACTGCTCCATCCTCCTCCCTTTGCTTATTCCTTCAATTTGGATTTGTTTTTCCGTTTCTTTGTTTACTTGGAGATTTTGCATCATTGACATATTTGCTTTATTGGCAGTTTTTACCTATCCCTCTTCTTTCTTGATGGTTTGATGTTCCATCTCTTCCGAGCTGCGACGAATTCATTATCGGCGGGCTTGCCTCCATCGTCACTCATTGTAATTCCCTGGATGGTTAAATCTAATCACAGTCTGTCATTATACAGAGCTCTGTAACTCTGTTTTCTGATTACAACGCTTGTTGTCGTGATTAACATGTGTTCTCCTTGAGATGAATCCATGGTTAAGTTTATTCATCATTTGATGTTATTCTATGCAAAGTTGAGATGCTCTGTCAAGCCCGGAATAATTACCGTGGATCTCCCTTGGCATGCTCCCGACCGTCGCTGCTCACCTTTTTCCGATCAAAGCTCAGGCGAGTTTGAATTCTTGTCCAGCCTTAATTAAGGGCAATTTAGCACGGATTTTACGTTTAACATTCCGCTTTCCCTATTTTGCAGCGGGTAATTGATTATTCTTCCCTTATTTGCTCATTACAGCTCAAATTTGAGCTTTATCGGTCAACCTGCATTAATGTCTCTCTCCTCCGTTATATATTGCTTGTTTTTGTAATTGAATTTCCTTTGTATTCAATGTTGACTTTTATTACTTTCCTTCTTTTGTTGCATTAGTGGCACTAATGTTCTCCCCTTTCATTTTAACGTTTAATGTTTCCCCCTAATCAAAATGTGTTCTTTAACTTCTTTTTTATTTTTTAGAGTAGTGTAACTTTTGGCTTTGGCCTGTCTTTGTATTTGATTTTTTGAGATTAATTTTCTTGCTTTCAGTCATTTATTATTTCTTACATTTTGGGTTTAACTTTTATTTGATTACTAGTGTCCGTTTAGTTTCTCTAGGTAAGGTTTTTCGGGTTGGGTTTTTTTACTTTGGGTGTGTGTTTTAATATTGTCTGTGTGTTCTTTTTCTTAGGTTTGAGTTGTTGTTAGCCTGTTGTAACCTTTTTTTGTGTGTCTTTTATTTGGCTTATCAATAATTGAGATGGGAGGCTTTTTGTTACTTCGGTAAGTTTGCTCTTTACTATATTTGGTTGTTGTAATCGGTCGGTCTGTCGTTTACTTTATTCATTTTGTACAACATATTTGGTTGTTGTATCTGGTAAGTTTGATCTTGCCTTCGTTTCTGTATCTTGTGATAGTTTTTGGTATTTCCATATATGTGCTATTTTGTTTGTATTATTGCAGGGATCTTACCTTCGCTTTCATATTTGAATGCAATTACAATGCTTATTCCTCTCAGACGGGTATTCATGGGGAAGTACTCTCTTCTTTCTCTCTTCCTGAATCAGTTTCGTGTCTTTTTGCTCTTCCGAGCTTTCTCAGAGCTGCCCATCTTGTGGCATAAAAGGCTCTTTCATCGGGAGTCCAGTTGCATACAGACTACCATTCTTCATTGTTGTCTTTCTTATATATTTGTTGTCCGGCCATGCCCTCGGGGCTTATCTTGGATACAAAAAAAACTCGTCAACAACATTAACTGCCTTGGTGGCGAATCAACTTGAAATCTCCTTGTAGCCCCTGGGGTTTCCGTTTGCCACTTTAACCATATCTTGTCCTCGATATTCATTTATCCATTTGTTTTCCCGCATCCTCATTTTTTTATTTTCTCTAGATAAATTAACTTCCATGTTTATTAATAAGGTGTTGTTCTATATAGTCTATGGAGTAGGGGTGACAATCGATCGGTTTTCGGTTAAACCGAGACATGACCAAAAGTCACTGTCGACCGACCGTCCCAGCAGCCCCGGTTAGCCGCAAACCGACCGGTCAGTTTTTGGTTTAGGTGCGGTTTAACCGGGACAACCGAAAATGTGAAGGCCGGTTCGGTTTAGCTGCCTAACCGACCGGTAACCGCCAAAAACCGACCGGACAGAAAGGGAAGAAAACCTAAAATCGCCTAAAATTAAAATCTCAAACCTACATTTCAATTCCTTTTGCATCGAAAATACATCTAAATTAGCAACTTAATGTCTCACATTCATTAATTCAACAATATAAACTCCACAATAAATCCTCTAGATAACAACAAATCAACAACACATCATAATCTATCATCACTTATCACTAGCCTTAGAAGAACCAACATCTGCATAACCCTGTTTGTTCAATTGGGGGAACAAGTCATGACCATAATCATCATATCCATCTTTCTCATACTCTTCCTCCGGTACATCTTCTTCACCCTCCTGCTCATTCTCCACTGGAATGTTGAGGCTTGCATCTGCATTGCCAACATTGCCAGTATTCGTTGCACTTTCCATTCTAGTTTGGAAAGTGACATTAAATGAGTAAGAAAAAAAAGGAAAACAAAGTGTTACTACATTCATACATTGAATTAGGTGGAAAGAAGACAAAAAACTGAACAATAAGAGAGTTTGAGAACTCACTACTTCCAAAGTCAAATTCTCTTCATCATCTTCCTTATCGTCAATCTCCCTGGATCTGGGATACCTTATCCAATCCTCAGCACAAATCAATGCCTCCACCATTAGGTCGCTCAAAGAGGACCTGAATGGACTGAGAATCCGCCCGACACAACTGAATGTTGCCTCTGAGGCAACAGAAGAGATGGGAACAGCTAGGACATCCTTAGCCATCTCAGCAACAATCGGATATATTCCAGAGTGTCGAGACCACCATTCCAATATGTCAAACTTTGCATCATCACTCTCTTCATTGATGCCATCAATTTGACATTTCAAATAGATGTCAAGCTCAGCAGAGCTACCTCCTGTTTCCAGCAGAAGTGCTTCCCTTTTTCTCTTTCTAAGCCTCTCCTCCAATATCTTAATCCGATCACTAGCACCATAAACAGAACCATCATCAGCAATGTTATCATCAGTGGTAGGCTGAGATGCAAACTCTGATCCATACTTCCTCTTATAAATCTCAAACATCTGGCGCATCTCCCTTTTAATAGTAGCCTGAATTTCCCTGCCTCCTTTGATACTTCCATAAATCATTACCAACAATTCAGACACAAGATCAAGTTTACTTCTAGGATCAAGCACACATGCTATATAAATTAAATGATTCACCCGAGGATTCTCCTCATTCATGACAGGTGTATCAAACCAATACTTTTGGTACCTTTTCTTCAACCTTTTCTGCCATCTTTTTGAGCTCTTCACTCGGATCATTCTTCAATTCTTGAATCATGTCATAAATTGGAACAAGTTTCTTGAAGAAAAGATGGGTAGTCACATATTTAGTTCCTGTTCAAAATCATCACCAATCCACCAAAATCATCATTCGACATTCATAATCAATATTCAATAATCATTTATTCATTCAACAACATTCAAAAATCAAAATCATCATCCCAATTTTTACTAAACATACATAATTGCGGGCCATTTTTAATGGGGAAAGAACGAGCTGATGCTTGTTTTGGGAGGGCGACGGCCGACGAGCTGCTGCTAGAGTGCTGGTGTAGGCGGCGGGGCGACTAGGGTGGAGGCGGCGGGGCGACGAGGGTGGAGGCGGCGGGTGCTGGGTTGTTGCCTGGCTGCTGCTGCCTGCTGGTGGAACGTCGACGATGGTGGAGGCGGCGTGGCGACGAGGTGGAGGGCTGGAGCTCCGCTGCGCCTGCGCGAGAAGGCGAGAAGGTGTAAGGGGGCTGCGCGAGAAGGCGAGAAGCGGCGATGGATTTTGGAATTGGGAGGGCCAAGGGAGTCGACAGAATCGGCAGCACTTAGGGTTAGTGGGGGGCTGAAACGGGGTCTTTTTGGGAAAAGGGAAGGGGTCAGTTAGCCGGTTAACCGCCGGTTTCCGCCCCAGTTAGTCGGCTAGCCGAACCCCTGCCCTTTCCCACCGCCAACCGACCGTTGCATTCAGAATCGGTTTTTCGGTTAGCCGAAAATCGGTCGATTTGGTTAAAACCGTCTGGTTAACTGCTAACCGAAAACCGTTTGCCACCCCTACTATGGAGTGTACGTAGCTAGCAATTCATTGTGTGGACATAAGAAATTCTTATGGTGTGTGTAGATAGCTACCAAAACAGAATGCAGGACAAGCACAATGGTAGTAACAGGGGAAGCCAAAACAAAGTGATAAATGAACAAATATATATTTATTTATAATAAATAAACAAAGAAGAAACAGAACGCATGAAGAAAGAAGGAAGGAAGAAAGGGTGGGTTGGTGGATATCCTCAAGAAGGATATAAATGAAATGAGCTACGTACCGGGCAATGGAGCTGCTTGGACAAATGACTCCTCGGGGAATCTACTTGGACACCGAATTTTAGCAGAAGACGACTTCTTTTGGGTGGAAGGTGAGTGGAGAATCAAAATTCGTGGACTCAACTCTTCAAAGGCAACAGATTCTGGGGGTGGAAGGCTTCTTCGCTTTCTGGAGCGTTGCAGGCCGACTTTGTTGACGTCACCGGCCGGAGAGGATGAAGAGTAGTAAAAGAGGAGGAAGAAGGACCCGCCGATTAGAAGAGTGCAGAAAATCCCCCTTTCTAACCCTAGAAATCGGGAGAGAAGAGGAGATTTGGGCTTGAGACAAATGCCATCGACAGAATCACTAGAGTTGGCGGAGACGACTGGTAAATTTAGTTGAAGTTAACCGGCGAGATTGTAGGAATGAAATCGACGAGGGTTGGGGGAATGTGAAGTCGGAGGGTTTGTAAAGGACAGACAAGGTGACACCATTTTTTTGTTTGATTTGGACGAGTTCTCAAGGTTGCAACGCGAAGGGCTCCTTCCCAGTTCCCACTCCTATATCTATATGCGAGTATGTACGACGCCGGATTTGTAGATATACACGGTCGCGGAATTGTAATTGTGTTTATCTAATGTTCTGCTACCAGTTTGAATGGTCGCTGGATTTTTAATAATTTGCGTCCAAGTGTATGGTCGCAGTAAAAGAAAACGTGGCCACCAAAATGTTTTCATCTTCCCGCCTTCATAAATTAAACCCGTCAAAAAATTTCCCTCTCATATCTGATGATTCGCGACCTTATTTAAATTGTGGTCGCAGATAGTGACATCATCTGCGACCATATTTTTAAATGGTCGTCAAGAATGGTCGCAAAATAACATTTTTCTTGTAGTGGATCTATGGTTCCAGAAAGTTTCAGAATAAACATGAGGGGTGAAAATGTGGGACGAGTAATATCTCTCGAATTTTTCCGAGAATTGCAGGTGATTTAAGGCCGGCACAGATCGACGGCGGAGCGGTCGGGACAACGGAGGAGGATGAGCGGCCGGGACGACGATGGAGGATGAGTGGTTGGGAGGACGGAGTCTCTCGCTGCCAGCTGGATGCCGGGACAAATGCGTTTCTTCTAGGGTTGTCGGCTGCAACTTCATCGACGTCTAGAAAAATAATATGAAGGTATGGGGATTTGGAGATTTCTCATGGTATAAAATCACTTAGGGGTAATTGGGTCATTTCCTTTCCCACTTAACAATCACTTCACAGAATTTTTGTTGGAATGACATATTCGTTACGTTTTAATATGAGAAGGATATGTTCGTGCAAAATATTAGTAGAGGGGTATGTTTGTTACTTTGCAATAGTAGAAGTGTACAAAATGCTATTAACCCTTAAATGAACTATCAAACTAAATTAGATTCAGTTTAAAAATTAAAATTGTAGGATTTGACACTAGACCTGGCAATCGGGTCGGGTTGGGTAATTTCGGGTTGGGAATCTCGGTTACGGGTCTTCACGGGTCCGGTCATGATGGGTTTGTTGATTTCGGGTAAAAAATTGACCCGACCCATCGGGTTTTGGGTCGGGTTTCGGGTCATGAGCGTTCTTAGAAACAATATCAAACATGTTTCATAAATTTTTAAAGAACACAAATTTTTACATATGTGCGACAATAGTTTGCCTAGCACATGTCAATTAACAAATGCTCAACTCCTTCCATGCTAATGAAAAGAAATACAAATTGCACAAATTGTCGAAAAACAATGACGAAAGTAATACTTCTACAATAAACAAATGATGTTTGATTATCGTAACACTCCAAACTTGTCTTTCAAATCCTAATAATTTTTTTTTAAACATCTCACCAAAGTATGAGTGATTATATCATTTTGAGAGTGACATATGGAATGAAACGGGTCTAGCGGGTCGACCCACAAGCCAACCCAACCCGACCCAAAAACTATGGGTTAATCGGGTTTGGGTCATTCAGGTTTCGGTTATAAAAACCTCAACCCCTTCTCTATTTTTCGAGCGGGTTCGGGTTGGGTCAACGGGTCGGATCCTTATTTGCCAGGTCTATTTGACACTTTGAATATTCCCATTGGAGCATAATCCATTGTGGCGGAGTCAAAATGTCAAATCTATCACCAAATTTGACATTTTAATGGTCTAGGAGATCTAAATCATAAACCGACTCTTTAACTCACATTTTTACGAATATACTAGATCAGAAACTGGCTCTCTAACTCACATTTTAAAATTTTTATTAAGGTACTAGGCATGGTGGTTTCAATATACTATAAAATTTTTTTCTATATCTAATATACTATAATGAACCATTGATGTTGGATATAGGTTTCACTCTTATTAGTTGCAAAACTGATGCTTTTCATTTGTCCTTTATTATTAATTTTTTTTGGTTCCTAGAGGAATTTCATATTGTATTTTAAACTTCAATTCAGCCTTTATTATCACAAATTTGGTTGATGAAGTTCACCACACACAATCAACATTTCAACTCGAGCATTTTATCACTCAACCAATGAGTCACGAGTTGAATTAAGGAAACCGCAAACCCACACACTAATTTCAAGATCTTACGGGTTTCTTGAGTCACTGTTGGGATTGGATAGGATGGAAATCTAATTCATTATACGAGAATAAAATTTATTATTTTAATAATTTATTATGAAGAACAATAGGACATTATATGAAATAACAAGACAATAGATCATAATAAAATGTGGATTCACTTCGTGAACAGTTTAATTAATAAATGACTTATCAATTATAACTATGTTACCAAATAATTTTTTTTTGAACAATTAACGTAAAATATTTGTGATTAGAGGAATATATATCAAATACAAAGGCTTTTATGTATAACGGAGTATCACAGGTCGATTTTGGGTAATCTCAGGTTGTAACCATTAAATCCGCAGCCAACCACAATGCTACAATTTCAAAAATCAGATTTGCGCCGACCAAACAAAGGAATTTTCTTGGATATTACGGGTGGGTTGGACGGTTAGGTCATTTATTTTATTTTATTTGTTCACTCCTTACATATCATATCTATAACTACACAATTATTCCGGCTAAACTATTCGGCCAAGGACCAGGTCCTGTGCTAGTGTATATACCCCGTTCAGAATCACCTAGGGGCTAGGGTTACAATACGATCCTTGTCCTTCTCTAATACGTACTAGCACAGGACCCGGCCCGTTGGCCGGAAGAATTTTGTTGAGTAATATGATATATAATAATGGATGTATAATAGATGATTTGAAATGCATAAAATGATTGGTTTCTACTTTAGTTATGCACATAACATATTTGAAAGTGATCCAACTATGCATAATGTGTTTACACCTTCATAAAAAAGAGAGAAAAATATAATATAAGTATTACTTATAATTATTGAATGAACAAAGAAATAAATATAACTAATTGTCATTCATTGCTTAATTAAACCATATAGTTGAATAGTAGAGTCGTTTTTCATAATACATACATAATCGACCTTTAAGATGAAGAAAATGTCTCTCATAGTTTTAGTATGACCTTTAAGTTTTTCTCAATAGAGGAGATTTTTCCAAAAATAGCACTGTTTAAAAAAAAATTCCAAAAATAGCACCCTTTTTGTAAAACCGTCACCCGGGCGCGCGTTTTTCGATGAAAACCGCCACATGGGGGCGCGTTTTTCGATGAAAACCGCACGGGTAGGGGCGGTTTTGCAGACCGCACCCCCAGGGTGCGGTTTGGTTGCAGACTTCTTTTGTTTTTTTTTTTTTTGAAAAATCCTAACCTAGGTGGAAACTTCAAACGAACGTATCTTTATGTTCGGGTATCCGACCGCGAATTTTTTTTTTTATTCTACATAACTTTTTGAGATCTTCCAAGCCGAAGACTGCCAAAGGTGGTTTGGTCCCGCCTTCGTCCCAAAAAATGTGGTTTGCTACCCCGAACGAACTTTTTTTCGATTTCGTCAAACTTTGGACAAACATAACTTTGTGCTCCAAAATCCAAACGGCATGAATTTTTTTTTTTATTTCGCATAAATTTTTAAGGAATACAACTTTTATCATAGACATAATTTCAAAATGTACGTGGATTGCTGAGAAGGGAAGATAAGCTATTCCCAAAATCCTGTATATCCAAAAATAATTCCTGTTTTGAAAATTCATTCCTAGTAAAAATTGTAGTCCTTAAAAAGTTATGCGAAATAAAAAAAAATCATGCCGTTTGGATTTGGAGCACAAAGTTACGGTTGTCCAAAGTTTGACGAAATCGGGAAAAAGCTCGTTCGGGGTAGCAAACGACATTTTTTGGTACGAAGGCGAGACCAAACCATCTTTGGCAGTCTTTGGCTTGCAAGATCTCAAAAAGTTATGCGGAATAAAAAAAAAATCGCGACGATCGGATATCCGAACATAAAGATACGTTCGTTTGAAGTTTCCACCTAAGTTAGGATTTTTCAAAAAAAAAAAAAACAGAACGCACCCTGGGGGTGCGGTCTGCAAAACCGCCCCCTACCAGTGCGGTTTTCATTGAAAAACGCACCCCCGGGTGGTGGTTTTCGCCCAAACCGCTGGTACGGGTGGCGGTTTTGCAAAAAGGGTGCTATTTTTGGAATTTTTCGGAGTTGGGTGCTATTTTTTGAATTTTTTTTTTAAACAGTGCTATTTCTGGAAAAATCTCTCAATAGAGAGCATTCTTTTTTACAACACCGTTGGTAATGAATCTGAAGTTGTTTATTAAATAAAAAGAGATTACAAAGCTGCAGGTAGCATGATAACGATAGATTACAAAGTTTACTAATACTAGATAACCAATAGAACTTCCTATAGAAGAATGGATATAAGAGTAAACTGGGCGATAGTTGATTTCTCCTTATTGGCGAAAAACAGTAGACGGAGAAAACCATAGAGGTAATGGAGAAATCATCGAAGGGTTATTATGTAAAGAGGTGGTAGAATAGAGAGGCTTGATTTTGTGAGTGGCAAGGTGGTAAACACCCATGTCATGACCTCCATGCTTCCGCTGTCGATGGCTGTTAATAAAATCGTCGGTGAAATAAATGGAATTGGGAATTAGTCGAGGATGCACTTTGGTAGGGACAAAAGTAGAACAAGAGTTGAATCCCAAGAACAAGGCAAATTCTCCGAAGCAGTTCACCTCATCCCATCCACTAGCATCTTTCTTCATCTTGAAAACTTTGAACTTGTCGGTGCAGTAAGTTTTGGTGGCCGCTTCTCCGTTGTCTAATTGATGGTCAATGTCCATCATTTCCGTAAATCTAGATACCATCATCAACTGATCATCATCATCTCCAGTAACAGTAGCTGGACATACAACCAAGTACTGATTGTCGGCCTTGCCGTAACAGTAAACATTGGGAGGAAAATCAAGAAGGAATGACAGGATTGGGTGATGTGGGTTAGCAGAAAAATCACACACCAGGATCCTTCCTCCCCAATCAAGGGCGTAAAATCGATCCCTCCAAAAGACCACATCAACAAAACCAATCTTACCTGGGGGTATACCATTCTCCTCTTCATGAGGAACCAACTTCCATCCTGCTTCAATTTCAGTAGGCTTGCAGAATGTTAGGCGATCATCATAGCCGTCCCAACGGATGGCCATCACAATGCATTCCTCCGAGGTGGGCTCCACTGACATTACAACTCTCTTCAGGTACTTCTTCTCAAAGAAGTTCTTGCTAATTAATTCTATGTAGCCATCAGCTGATTGAACATGGTATTCAAGCTCTGCATTTTCAGGGCGGTAGGCCAACACACCAGGGAAAGACGTGGCGGGTGGCAGAGGAATCTCAGTCTTGGTAAGAGGGTTCAACAAGGAGATACCAGGCGTTTTATCTACAATGCACAGCCAGCCCATTGTGGACCCGCGGTAACTTTTGTCCTGTAAGCCTGGAGGGAACTCAATGTGGTGAAATCGATGCAGCGCCACGTCGTAAAAGCAGCGGCAGTTCTTGGAACCTTTACACCCAAGCATCGGAATTGCAGCAGCTGGGGAGTCGATGACAGTACTGCACATGGCCATGGCCATGTTCATATTGTTGCTAGTGCAATACGGTAGCATCAGCCATTGCGTGAATGGGGGGATCCTGCGCTGCTGCTCGGCCAGCTGGGCTCGACTCCATGGATTACAAACAGCTCGAGATCGAATGACATCCTCTATTGTCATCAACCGCTGTCCGATCATACACAGTAGATCCTCCCCCAATTCTGACCAATCTTTCACTCCATCAGCCATTGGTGCTCTCTTTCAAACTGATATGTCTATATCGAGAGCAGGCACCTCTTTACTATTTATTGAATTCGCTCTTTTCCGATTCCGAAACAAAATAAGGAAAACGCGGAAAGAGATAGAGAGGGAGAAGAGAAATCCCCGACTAAGAAACGGAAAAGGAGAAAGGGTTTGAGATTCAGTCTTACAAGTTACAACTCTGGCGGCTGCGGCGGATCTCACCTTATCGGTTTGTATGTATTACTGTCCAACCAACCTCTGGAATCACTAACCGGAAATGAATCTAAACTCTTCCACGCTTCTTATTGCCGGAGAACAGAAGCAAGTAAGAAAATAATAATCTTTCAAGTGATGACTTTGTGCTAAACTGAAACCCAAAAGAACCCCTCGGGACTAGGAAATCGATTGGTTTTCTTTTTCCTTATTTTATCTTCTAGAGTTCTATTGATGATCAGCAACACGTGGCTTAGGATATAAGGATCGGGAATAAATTTTTAAAAATTTATCTTAAGTTTATCTTTCTCGTTCTGATTTGAATTTCAAAATTTTGTAAACAGATGAAACAAGTTTACGGTAATCCACAAAATGAGATTCATTTTAAATATATTTCGAGAAAAAAATTTCATACCATCCATAACACTCGTTACCACTCTGATACCACCAGCACAGGACCCGGCCCGTTGGCTGGAAGAGTTTTGTCGAGAAATATGATATATAATAATGAATATATAATAGATGATTTGAAATGCATAGAATGACTGTTTTCTACCTTAGTAATGCACATAACATTTTTGAAAGTGATCCAACTATGCATAATTGTTTAGACCTCCATGAAAAGAGAAAAAATATAATATAATATAAGTATTACTTATAATTATTAAATGAACAGAGAATAAATATAACTAATTGTCATTCATTACTTAATTAAACCATATAGTTGAAATATTAGAGTTGTTTCTCATAATACATACATAATCAACCTTTAAGATGAAAGAAAATGTCTCTCATAGAATTTAGTATGTCCTTTAAGTTTTTTTTTCCAATAGAGACCTGTTGGGCATGTGACTCGGACCTAGCCGCGCCAGAAGAGCGCGTCGAGACCAAAGACATCCAGCGCGATCCAGTATGAAGACCCCCAGCGCGGCTCAACGCGAAGGCTTTGAGCGCGAAGGCTTTGAGCGCGACACCTCAGCACGTCCCGGCGCGAGGATCTTGAGCGCGGCACAGGCTACGCGCACGTGGAAGGGTCAAAGCGTAGATCAGACCAAAGAGATATAGAAAGCATCGTCTCACTTCCCGAGGGATGGTCACATCAAGGTTCTAAGCACAGTCCTAGATAAGTCTCTGACATGTCCTAGGTCTCTACATGGCCTAAATCCCTGGCATGTCAGTAGTCACATCGTTGTACCATCATGTAACTCAACCACTCATCCACCACCATGTAGCCTATAAATATGGTATTTACTCCGGTGGGAGAGGGGATCGGCTTCTTGGACATTCTATCTCTACAACATCAACTTCTCTCTCTAAACAACCAATTCTCTCAATTCCGTTCTCCCCGACCCTATTTCCATGTGAGTTCGTTTATCTTCCGTTGTCTTTCTCTGCTTGACTCACCTTCTTCCCCGAACCTACCTCCTACATTCAGTTAGGTTCAAACAATTGGCGCCCACCGTGGGGCCAAGCAGAGAAACAAAAGAAAGCCGACTCATGGCAGATCATAACCCCGACTTACCTGACGAAGCAACGCCTATCAAGGCAATGACCAACCCCAGAGCGTTCGCGGAAATCAGCGACCTAAACGCGGTACTCATCGAAGAAGAAGAGCCCGAGTTGACCGCCAAGGAAATGAGGCAGCTGATGGCAAAACAAAATAATGTCATAGCCGACATGCAAAGGCAAATGATCCAAGTCATATCGCTCATGATGAGCAAGAAAGCCGTGACAACGGTAGAGGCGACGCCAAGCGCGCCACAGCAGGCACCTGGTGAAGCGTCAGGGACCGCCCTGCTGCCACAACATCCGGCGCCAGAGCCCTCTGCGTGTGAAGCGCAACAGACCGAACTGCCAGGAAGGGCGGACCTCAGCTTCTTGGAGCAGCACATGTCCCCGCAATACCGATCCAACCCACCCAAGAGGGCGCTCCACCAACCGCTAAGCGCGGAAATCATGGCGGAGCACCTGAGCGGAATGCCACCCGCCCTCCCAACATATAACGGGACGACTGATCCCGAAGACCACGTGAGCACCTTCTGCTTGCGGATGCAACTCCAGACGAATTCCAACGCAGCGCTATGCAGAACCTTCCCATCCACGTTCTCCGGCATATGCCTGGATTGGTATAACAGGCTCCCAAACAGAATCATCCGTTTGTTTGAAGAGTTCATACTCTTATTCACAACAAAGTTCGCATCCCAAAAAAGAAGGCCTCTCCACCTCAAGGCGCTAATAGACATCAGGCAGAAGGGGCGGGAGAGCCTGCGAGTGTTCTACGCCAGATGGTCGAGGGTGGCGATGGCTGTGCGCGATCTCACACCCGAAACCGCCGCCCATCACCTCATGGAAGCCACCACCAACATGGAGCTCAAGCGAGCATTAGCGAAAAGGCCCGTCACACTATCAACAGAGTTGGAGATGAAGATTGAGAAAGCAATCACACTGGAAGAAATGCTCGGCACGGGGTCCGTCAGGTGCTTCGAACCCGCGAAGCCTCCACAAGAAGAGCAGGGACGGAGACAGCTACCGGTGCCGCGGGAGCAATTGGCGCAACTACACAGCGGCCCAAAACGCCATCATCCACCCCCACCAGAACAAGCTCGGCCGGGACGATCGCCTGACAGGTCCCCCTCAAACGCCTATACGCCGCTCAATGAGTCGGTAAAGAACGTGTTCCACGTTCTCCGCGAGAAAGGTTACAAGATCAATTGGCCTGCGCCCCTGAAGGCTCCGCTGCACATGCGTGACCCAAAAAAGCATTGCGACTTCCACCGAGAAACGGGCCACTGGACGGAAGATTGCAGGGAGTTGCGATACGAAATCGAAGGCCTCATTCGAAGAGGGTTAATCAGAAAACCCACCACCACCCCCGCAAGCTGACTACAACGAGGCTACTGGCGCATACGTGGTGCGCAAGGAAATAGGGGTGGTGACAGTAGAAGGAGATCGTCCGAAAAAGAGAACCAAGCGCGAACTCGCATTGGAGTGCGTGGCGGGAGACGCTCAAACAAGGTGCCAAATCAGCTTCGACGACACCGAATTACCGCAAGGAATTCCGTCCGAGGACCCGCTCACCATCACCGCTCTGGTGCCTGCCTGCAAAATCCACCGCCTACTGATAGACGGGGGTAGCGCGGCAGACATCTTGTTCAAGAGCACAGTCGACCAAATGGACATCGATCCGCGCTTAATTAAGCGCGCCTACAGAAATTTGGTCGGATTCTCTGGAACGAGGGTCCCAGTGATCGGAGTAGTAACCCTTCCGGTCGTCATAGGAGACCAAGAACCGCGCATCTCAAAACAAGTCGAGTTCACCATAGTCGACTGCAACTCGTCCCACAACGGTATCTTGGGCCGACCATTTCTAGCAAAATTCATGGCCCTTTCATCCACATGCCACCAGAAGCTGAAGTTCCCCACCAAGATGGGGATAGGGGAAGCGCGCGGGACGCCATGGGGAGTTACGAAACCCGAAGGAGAAGCCCGCCAGACCAACATTGTCGACACAAGGCCAGAGGAACCCCGCCCGGAATCGATGGATTCCGATTTCGAGGTCGCGCTTGACCCAACTAAGCCGACTAGGAAAATACGCATCTCAACTCATGTCCGCGGTGACGCGATTGAGCCACTGATAGCGTTACTGAAGGAATACAAAGAGTTATTTGCCTGGTGCACAGAAGACATGCCGGGAGTGCCAAGGCATGTGGCCCAACATTGCCTCGCAGTCCCGCCGAACGCGCCCCCAAGACAACAAACGCGTCGTAGCTTCACTGGCGACAAGTTGAAAGCCATCGAAGAAGAGGTGGCACGACTGTTGGCGGAAGGGTTGATCCGCCCGGTCAAATACCCAAAGTGGTTGGCGAACGTAGTCCTGGTGAAAAAATCGTCAGGGGCCTGGCGAATGTGCGTCGATTACACAACAATCAACAAGGTGTGCCCGGGACACCCTTACCCCTTGCCGCGCATCGACCAGCTTATCGACGCCACCGCCGATCACGAGACACTGTCTTTTCTTGACATGTTCTCAGGGTACCACCAGATCCCAATGTCCCGCAAGGACGAAGAAAAGACGGCATTCATGACGCCATTCGGAAACTTCTGCTTCATCGGAATGCCGTTCGGACTCTAGAATGCAGGCGCAACGTATCAAAGGATGATTGACTCGGTGTTCGCACAACAGAGAGGGCGGAACATCGTGGCGTATGTGGATGACCTCATTGTCAAGACCAGAGTGGGCAACTCACACCTGGAGGATCTGCGTGAGACGTTCGAGGCGCTCCGCAAACACAGCCTCCGCCTAAACCCACTGAAGTGCGTTTTCGGGGCAAAAGCGGGAAAATTCCTTGGTTTCATGATAACCAAGCGCGGCATAAAAGTCGACCCGAAGCAGATCACCGCGGTCCAGCATCTCAGAGCGCCAAGAAGCGCTTTAGAAATACAATCCCTAAATGGCAAGATAGCGGCGTTAGGGAGGTTCATACCAAGGTCCGCCGACAAGTGCGTGCCTTTCTTCAAAACACTCAAAAACGGCGCACGATTCGCGTGGTCTAAGGAGTGCGAAGCGGCGTTTCAAGAGCTTAAGGCATATCTTGTATCCCCCCTGTACTGTCTGCTCCCAAACTTAATGAAAAACTTTTTCTGTACCTAGCTGTGTCAACAAGAGCTGTGAGCGCAGTGCTAATATCCAGAAGAGATGACCAGACCGAGCGCCCTGTGTATTACACCTCAAGAACTTTGGTCAGCGCGGAGACAAGATACTCCCCAATAGAGAAGGCCGCCCTGGCGTTGATAAGCGCATCCCAGAAGTTGCTTCCCTACTTCCAAGCACACCAAATCACTGTCCTAACCAACCTTCCGCTGAAAAAGATTCTAACCTCAACGGAAATATCGGGGCGCATGGTTAAATGGGCAGTCGAACTGTCAGAATACGACATCCAATACGCGCCAAGGCCAGCAATAAAGGCGCAAATCTTAGCGGACTTCATCGCCGAAGGGGTCACTCTCGAAAATACACCAGAAGGAGTATGGGAGGTTTACGTTGATGGCGCGGCAAGTAAACATGGCGCCGGCGTGGGTGTCGTCGTGCGCACTCCAACAGGCGTCGTCCACGAAATAGCAATCAGGTTCAGAGAACTAAAGGAAAACAACGCGGCCGAATATGAAGCCATCCTAGCAGGAATGACTGCCGCCAACGACCTGGGTGCTAGAACAATCAGAGTACTCTCTGACTCCTCACTAGCAGTGAACCAGCTGAATGGTACCTTCGATGCGAAAGATGATACGCTCGCGCATTACGTGGAGCGTGTCAAACAACGAGCAAGTACCTTCGAGATGGTGACTTACGCGCAAATACCCAGGGAGGAAAACATGCACGCCGACGCGCTATCAAAGTTAGCGACCGCCACCGACTTCGAATCCACGCGCCTCGTGACGGTCCAAAAAGAAGAAGAAGAGAATCGCCAAGAGGTGGCAATTAATACCACTCAGCTCATGACCGACGAAGACTGGAGAGCCCCGATTGTGAAGTACTTACAAGACGGCACCGTGCCAGATGATCCTAAGGAGGCATGGGTTTTGAGGAAAAAAGCGGCCCGGTGCACACTCATTGGTGAAGAGTTGTACCGACGGTCATACTCGGGGGTCTAGTTGAAGTGCATTGGGCAGGAAGAAGCGCGTAACATGGTACGCGATCTACACGAAGGGTTGTGCGCCATGCACGCCGGGCCACGTACCATGGAACGCACCATCTTCATGCACGGATACTATTGGCCACGGGTAAAAAAGGACACGAAGAAATACGCAGACCAATGCCACAAGTGCCAGGTTAATGCACGCTAGCATCACCTCCCGTCCACTGAGCTTCAAGGGAACCTGAGTCCATGACCTTTTGCGCAATGGGGGGTGGATCTCTTAGGTCCCTTCCCAACGGCAAAAGGAAAGCGCAGATACATCATCGTGGGAGTAGACTACTTCACCAAGTGGATCGCGCTTTTTGAGAAACAATATCCTGACGCGCTTCGGAGTCCCGAACGCGCTTGTCTTCGATCATGGAAAACAATTTGATTGTGCAGAGGTGATAGACTTCTGCGACCAAGTGGGAACCATTGCAAGGTTCGCATCAGTGGCTTACCCTCAAGCAAACGGCCAAGCGGAATCCGCAAAAAAGGCAATCATGCACGGCTTGCACACCCGCCTGAATGAAGCCAAAGATAATTGGGCGGACGAGCTCAACACGGTGTTATGTGCACATCGAACCACGTACAAAGTGGCAACAGGCGAAACCCCATTCGCGCTCACGTATGGCACTGACGCGGTGATCCCCATTGAGACAACGTCCCCAACCTATCGAATCACGATGTACAACGAAGAAACCAACAATGAGGCGCGCCTGTTAGACTTAGAACTGGCGCAGGAAAGACGCGAGCTAGCAGCCATCAAACTAGCCGCAATGAAAGAGCAGGTGGCCAAATACCACAACGCGAAGTTAGTCCCGCACAAGCTGATTCTCGGCGACCAAGTGCTGCGAAGAAACTTCCGTCCTGATCCCAAACATGGAAAACTCGCCTCAGTATGGGAGGGCCCATACCTAATCCGCGAAGTAGTCGGCGCCAACACCTTCAAGCTCAGCGAGCTGTGTGGAAACAAAATCCCAAGGACATGGAATGCACAGAATCTCAGGAAATACTACTAGTCTACTTGATGTATATCTTGTGTTACAATGTTGCGATGACGCACGCAGATTAATGAAATATTCAGTTCGCCAGAACAAAACAATAGCAATTAGCATGAACCATTCGCGCACACTCGGTTCGAAAGAATAAACAATAGCAATGGGCATGAACCATTCGCGCACACTCGGTTCGAAAGAACAAATAATAGCAATGGGCATGAACCATTCGCGCACACTCGGTTCGAAAGAACAAACAGTAGCAATGGGCATGGACCATTCGAGCACACTCGGTTCGAAAGAACAAAGCTGTTACATCTCATCCGAAAAGAAATTGCCATATCAAACGATTCCTTTTACCTACTGGCTAATGGCAATCTTAACTGCAACAACTTTATACATTACTATTATGTTTAGATTGTTTAGCTACTAATAAAACACGACTCAAGTCCTGTTTAGCTCATTTCACAATTTTGCATTCGGCATAGCTCTCACCTTTTTCACTTCATTTGTTATAGGAATGTAAATGTTAATCTCATTAGTAGTGTCAATGGTATCAAAGAGGCAGAGGTAGTTGTTAGCCTAATATTTTTGTACGGCTAATATTAAGCGAAATTGTCATTTATATTACGTAACTTTTAGTGTGATAATGTATACTAAATCGTATATTATGTTAGTTTAACCATTATTTATCAATAAACGCTCACGTACCGCCTAATTGGCTCCAACAGAGCTCATTGACGTGAAAAATAAACCAAAACCCCTTTTAATTAGTGTCAAATTTATATTCAACCTAACTTGACTTTCTCCTGCAGTTGGAATATTTGAGTTCGATCGAGCACCTATTAGATTTGATGTTACTGTCGAGCATTTATAATCGGGCGATAATTGGCTGCTGTCTGGGTTGCAGCCCATAGCTGCTACCCATTGACGTGGCAGCATATTATTGGCCCATGAAATGTTAATTAATTATTGTACTTATTTGGAACAAAACGGGACGGAAACGGACGGAAACGGCTTCTTTCTTGGACCGGACGGAGAAGCAGCCCAATAGTGTTGTCTCTTTACTCTTTAACTTTTATTCTATTATTATTATATTTGTGATTTTGTTTTGTTAATTGATAAAAAAAGGAGATCTAATAAAATTAAACACAGAGGTGCTTTAGGTTTTAGGGTTTATTGCGTACTCATTATCAAACCATCGCCGGCAGCATCTTGTCTTCAGCGCCTGCAACTGGAAAACAGCGTACGGTAACCATCTCTATTACTACTTCGACTGCCTTCGAGTTCGACGCTTGCTTTTTGAGATTCATAGACCTCCAAATCAAGTCGAAAAGGTAAGATATGGATGCTAGGAGTTCATCTAAAACTAGTCTACTGAAATATGATGGTTTTGCTTTAATTAGAGCTGGCTTTGTTTTGCTGTACACAACCAACAGATATAAAACGTGAAGTTGTTCTTTTTTTATATGCTACAAAGGCTTTAGTTCGTTAGGTTAATAGTAATTCAATTTATTATGTTGCGGTTTGTGTTATGCAGGTTAGTTAACTTAGTGAAACTTGGACTCCCTGTGAAGAGGAACACATATGAGTTCTAAACCAATTCCGGAAAAGGTTGAAGTGCCATGTATAGGTATGAAGTTCGATGGTGATGAAAGTGCTTATGAATTTTATAAAGCATATGCCCACAGTATTGGTTTCAGTCTAAGGAAGGACTATATAAAGCGAAATCAAGCAGGACAGGTGAAGAGAAGAATATTTTGCTGTTCTAAAGAAGGTGAAAAAGGTTTTGATAAAAGGCGTGAGCATGTAGCTTTTGAGCGGCCAATTTCAAGAATCGGATGTTTGGCACATATGACCTGCCAACTAAAAAATGATGGCTTGCTAGAGGTTGTTTCTTTTGAAGCAGATCATAACCATGAACTTGCCCCCACTCCCATGAAGCACATGCTGAGATCCAACAGGAAGATAAGTTATGCTCAGAAGGCTATTGCAGATGATGCTGAGAGAGCTGGGTTACCAATCAAGGCAACTATTGATTTACTAGCAATACATAATGGAGGCCGTGAAAACAACGGGTTTCTAGATTCGGACTATAGAAACTATATTGCGACACAAAGAAAGGCTACAATGATTAAGGGAGATGGTCCAGCAATTATGGATTATTTTTGTAAAGCACAATCAGAGGATCCATCATTTTTTTATTCGGTGCAACTCGATGATGATGATTTCATCATGAATATGTTCTGGGTTGATGGTAGGTCAATCATTGACTACAAATACTTTGGAGATGTTCTATGCTTTGACACCACTTATAGTACTAATGAATATGGTCGACCTTTTGCTCCATTTGTTGGAGTCAATCATCTGAAGCAGACAGTAATCTTTGGGGCAGCATTACTCTATGATGAAACAATCACTTCGTTCAAGTGGTTGTTTGAAGCATTTTTGGGTGCAATGGATGGAAAGCAACCTAAGACCATATTGACAGATCAATCAGCTGCTATGGCGAAAGCAATCGAAGAGGTATTTACTGAAACTCATCGTCGTTTATGTGTTTGGCATATTTATCAAAATGCTGCTAAGCACTTGAGCCATGTGTTTCACGGATCCGACCAATTCGCTAGTGATTTTAGTTCGTGTATATATGATGGTGAAGATGAAGATGAATGGCTTAAAGGTTGGGATGATATGCTTAACAAGTATGGTCTGGGGAACAATGAATGGTTGCATGGTATATTTTCAATAAAAGAGAAATGGGCTATGGTTTATGGACGCCATATGTTTACTGCTGATATGAAAAGTACACAGCGTAGTGAATCAATGAACAGTGTGTTAAAGAAGTACCTGAAGCCGAAACACAATATGGCAAACTTTTTTTACCATTATAACAAGTTGGTACAAGATAGAAGGTACCAAGAACTGCTTGCAGAGTTCAAAATGAGGGACACCCGCCCTGTGTTAAAAGCTGACGTTGAGATGTTAAGGCATGCATCAGAAGTGTACACTCCAAAAGTCTTGAAGTTGTTTGAAGAAGAATATCTGAAGGTTTGGGATTGTACGATTGATAAGATTAGCAAAACCGAAGGTCATACGGAATATAAAGTGAAATATCTTGGTAGAGATTCAGGGCATCATGTCTGGTTTGAGTCTTCATCTCAAGCAGTTGAATGTAGTTGCATGAAGTTTCAGTTTGTGGGGATTTTATGTGCTCATGCTTTGAAGGTTCTTGACAAGAAAAATATAAAGCACATCCCAAAGCAATATATATCAAAGAGATGGACAAAGGATGCAAAAGATGGGGATATGAGAAGTTCAGTTCGAGTGCAGGGAAGTTCTGAGAAACTCATTGGGAAGCGTTACTTCAATTTGCATTATAATTTTCATGAGATATCTGCACTAGCAGCTGAGAGCGACAGAATGTATGAGCATGCAAGTGAAGTTTTTTCAAATTTGCTAAAGGAATTGCAGGTAATGAAGAAGTGCTCAAATGGTGGAACTTCTAATGAGATATTATGTTCTAATCATGAAGAAGAGTATCCAACTGTAGCCGGAGTTAAGTCAAAAGCTACTGTTGGACGACCAAAAGGAAGATTTAAAGGTGCATTAGAGAGACAAAAAAGTCACAAAGTTCAATCAAAACCAAAGGTTCTTCCCTTGTATGTTTCTACAATATAAAACTATTATACTATTTGTTTATATTAGTTATTCACTGTATATTATTTATTATATGCAGGGTAAGAAGGTGAAAATTGGTTCTTCTCAGCAAGTAGAAAGCAGTACTGAACTGCAAATACAAAATAATCAGGTTTTCCTTTGTCTAGTTTATATATCAAAGAAATATGATAGTATTTTTATAATGAGATAAGTGAAAATAGCATATGAATCATATATTAACAATTGGTTAATCAGGTTTTCCTTTGTCTAGTTTATATATCAAAGAAATATGATAGTATTTTTATAATGAGATAAGTGAAAATAGCATATGAATCATATATTAACAATTGGTTAATTTTAGGTGATGAACAAACATCAGCTTCAAAGATCAATTGTTAGTTCAGCTGGAGAAAACTTGGAGTCTACACCTTGTGTAAGCGATATATCATTCACACAATTGTTACAGGTACGAACTCCATATTATTATTTATTTAATAAGTTCAATTTTATTAGAAATTTCAAGACTAATATCATTCTTATCTCCATTTTTTTTTGCAGGATGTCACATCAAACCCACAAGCACATGGTCCTCAACACTGATAATGTTTGTTTTTTCTTGGTACCTTAGTAGGATTATTATTATTATTATATTTGAAGAGGTTATTTTTAAAGAATTAATTTTAGCATTTAGGGATGAATTTGGTACTTTCTTTTTTATGCTGGTGATCATGTTGGTGAAACTATGACCGTACGTGATGTTTATTATGTTTGAAGAGGTTATTTTCATAGAATTAATTTTAACATTTAGGGATCAATTTGGTACTTTCTTTTTCATGTTGGTGATCATGTTGATGTTGGCCAAAATATCGTCGTACATAATACTGTATATAATATTATATCATATTGTACATAATATATATTATATCATTCCTCTCAATATATTCTTTATATAAAAAAACATTCAAAAGGTGAAACTATTGTTGTACGCCTGTACGTGATGTTTAAAAAAGAGACCTGGAGGTCTACTATGTTAGGCTAGAAAGCAAGTAATAAAGCATGGGAGTGTTGTGCACCTCTGTGTTTAATTTTATTAGATCTCCTTTTTTTTATTAATTAACAAAGCAAAATCACAAATATAATAATAATAGAATAAAAGTTAAAGAGTAAAGAGACAACACTGTTGGGCTGCTTCTCCGTCCGGTCCAAGAAAGAAGCCGTTTCCGTCCCGTTTTGTTCCAAATAAGTACAATAATTAATTAACATTTCATGGGCCAATAATATGCTGCCACGTCAATGGGTAGCAGCTATGGGCTGCAACCCAGACAACAGCCAATTATCGCCTTTTATAATCAATCATCTATTACCAACAATGAAGTCCCACAACTATACATAGCAAAGAGATCATCTCCTGAATAACAGGAGAGCGAATGTAGTATGTATATTTTTGTCTAAAAGTGGTTTCTTTTCTCGTAATTCTGTACTCTCTGGTTCAGTGCTTAGTTAAGATTTTGGTGTTTTTTTTCATCGTCTCCACATGAGAAGCAGGACAAGAGAAGCAAAGATGAAGACGGTAGAAGCCACGCACAACGTATCCATCGCCCCTTCGGCTCTCAGCTTCCTCTCCCTACGTCGTCGTTTCAACGCCACGAACTCCTCGTGCCTCCCCCTTCCTCCTCTTTCCCGTTTCATTCCATTTCTGGACCCACCAAACGCCCTCCCCAAAATCCCCAAACTGTCCTTCCCGCTCATGTACATTCTGTCCAGGTTCTCCATCTGCAGGCTCACTTCCCGCACGTGCATCGCCCCTTCCTGGATGCCGCCCCCGCACGTGACCACGATCCCGCACTGGACCAACTCCGACGCCGTTCCCCTCTCCCCCGCCACCACCAACGCGAACCGCGCGTGAACCTCACCGCTCAGCCAGTGCCTCTGTACCGATACGGGCCTGTGGCTCGACACGTTCACCGCCCAGCGACCCGCCGGGTCGATCAGGACCCAGCTCAGCGTCAGCTCCTCCTCCAGCTCCCCACACGCGCCCTCCGTCTCGGGGCGCGGTATCCGGGTCGGACACGTGTCCTTCGTGTCCAGCAGGTCGACCCGAAAGGGCGAGCAGCGGAACCAGCTGCTCGCCGTCTCCGTCTCCACGGCCCTGCTGAAAATCAGCTCCCCGCGGTGGTAGATGTCCACGGCGGAGATCAGCTCCTCCGTGAATGTCTCCGGCTCGGCTTGAGAATGGGCCGGCGGCTTGGCGTGGGGCTCCATATTGGCGGCCAGCAGAGGAAACGAGGCGGAGAAGAAGGAGCAGTGCCCGCCGGGGAATGCGGAGATCAGTTCCTGGAGGCGGGGGAGATCGGTGGACGGCCACGTTGACCTACAGACGTTCCTCCACAAATTGTCCTGCGAAGCGAGCGAGCTGAGCTCGGTGGAGGCGCAAGCGGTGGAGAGGAAGGAGACGCCGTCGAGTCTGTTCAGGATGTGTGTCCGGAGAATGTCCTCGTGAATTACTGAAAGTGATGAACTGGTGGCGGTGCCTCGGTAGTCAACTCTCTCAATCTCTGTCTGCTCCGCTGCAATCACTTTCGTCGACGGTGTAGCCATTGACTGTTTCTTCTAACCCAGTTTCCGACCGATCACTCTTTTAATTTTTTTTATATTTCTTTTTCTGTTTAGAGTTTAAATGTGGAAAAGAGAGAGGAGAGGAAATGTTAATTTGTTGTTAATATATCAGTAATGAGTGGTAACGATCTATATATAGGGTTCCCGGCTGGGAAGGGTGGAATTTACTTCGATACCCTTGGAAGTGAAGGTAACTGCGGGTAGGGATGGCAATTTTGCCCATACCCATGGGTATTTTACTATCCAACCCAATTGGGTTGGGTATGAAATCCAAATATATGGATATGGGTAAAGTTTGATGGGTTTATACCCATACCCATTTACTTTGGGTTGGGTTGGGTTTATAACAAATGGATTTGGGTTTGTACCCATGCCCAAATACAAATTACAGTTTGGTACCTAAACTTAATAGATATGCATATTTAGTACCTAAATTTAATTTTTTTTGCATATAAGTCCTCAAAATATCGATGGAAAATTACGTTTTGGTACCTAAATTTTTTTGGTCTTACATTTTGGTACCTAAATTTTTTATGTTTTACAAATAAGTCCAAGTTTTGCATGTGTAGTTAAAACACCCTCAAGTAAATGGATATCCATATCCAACCCATACCCATTTTGATAATATCCATATCTAACCCAAACCCATATACAAACCCCAAACCCATACACACATAACCCAAAACCTACCCATAATAAATGGGTCTACTTGGGTTTGGGCAAAATTACCCATGGGTGGGTAAATTGCCATCCCTAACTGCGGGTGGAAGTTACTTCGTTACGCAGCCGTTAGCGAAGCAGCACTTTTTCCGACCGTGTTGGGCCATCTACCCAGTTTTTGTCCGGATTGGTGCCCGCCTGCTTGTTTTGTGAACAAGGCTCGCAAGAAAGGACAAGGGTGATTGTATAATTTCCGACGGTGCACGGTGCTGTCGCGGTTCCTGTAGGCGTATTAGATGCGTAAAGTCGGTCCAGATGAAAGATAATTTAATGTTATAATATATAATAATAATACTATTATAATTTTCATGTAGTGCGATTATTATGGAATTACCTACTACTACGACTGCTTTAGGCTTTAATTTATTTTTAATCATTTAACTAGTGAGAGTGACGAAAGGGGTAGTCAGTTCTTTTGACTCTTTCATTTTCTTTATCTTCTTTTTTAGTAGAAAGTTTCATTTTCTTTGTCAAGTTGTATGTATGATTTTCTTTACATTTTAGTTTAGGGTTAATTGCATGGTTGGTTACTGAGATTACAAAAACGTTCAAGTTTGGTCACTCGAAATATTTAAATTCATTGATGGTACTTCAGTTTACTGAAACGATTCATGTTTGGTCACTCTCCGTCCAACTCCGTTAACTTTTGCTGATGTGGAAGTCAACTCTGAAAGTTGACCGTTAACTTAGTGACGTGGCAACTAAAAATTTGTTAAAAATAAAAAAAATAACTTTTATATTTTTCACGTCATTATTACATTCATTAAAAAAATAAAAAAAAACACAACGGGTTTTGGTTGCCTCGTTGGTACGTGGCAAAGTGTTGGAGGTGGGATTGTGAGGCTTGTGAGGCTTGTCGGTGGAGTAAACCCAACACCTGTGGACGCCATTGATGAATCTGTACCGCTGGTTTTCAGGAACATCGTAAGGCCTCTGGATGTTGAAATACGTACTGTTGAATTGGAGCGATTCGAAGCCGCAGGTAAGGTCACGGCTTCCACGTAGCAAACAAACTCCCAGTATCAAAGCTAGCCACCATAACATGTACACGATTTGCTTCACTAGAGTAGCCATGGAAACTGATATTCGATAAATTGACGACCGATTACTTGATGGGGGTTTGGAGCTAAATTGAGTTGTGTGGGTCTAAATTGGTGATGGGTTTTCCCAAACAGTAAGCACTACCGCCGTCGCCGGCGGCGGCTGGGCCGGCCTAATGTCCTATCTTTTGGCTTTTCCTGTATGTGTATATGGTCACAATAATTATTTAGTATAAGGTAACGACTGGTGTACTCCAGACGCATAGTATACTCCAGATCTTGTAGCCGTTGATCACATCTAACGGTCATTATTTATTATGATCAAATTAATTATTTATTCAAAATTTTAATTACTAATGACACCCATTAAAATTTTATACGTACGATATAGCACTCCTAACAATTTTTTCCGTTTTTTGATATAATGATACCTCTACTTTTTCAGTCATTGTTCCGGACACCCAAACTTTATATCCCTGCTAATTCAATTTTCCAACACTGCTAATTCCAAATCTAGAAACTACGTGGTCTTAACCCTAATCGTGGTCTTAATTGTCCACCAAGTAGCTTTTAACCTAGAGATAATACATTTACGCTGCTAATTCCAAATCCAGAAACTACGAATTACGAATCCCAAACTTTATAACCCGCCGAATTAGGGCCGCTGCCCCGCCCTCACCATCACCCTCACCCTCACCCTCATCATCTTCCTTTCTTCTTCTCGGCGGCGAGCGGAGGGAAAGGACGCCTAGATTGGCAACGGCGAGACAGCGGCATCAACCGCCAGATAATAGGCCAAGCCCTGAATCGACGAAGCGACGCCTTCGATGAATCAAACACGGCAATGGTGGGTTTTCTATTTCTGTAATATGAGTTCTGAGTTCTGACCGTATGAATGCTAACTAATCACCCTCTCCAACCTCCTATCTTCTCGGGTGCTAACGGAGGGAAAGGAGGTCTAGATTGACGACACCGAGACAGCGGCGTGGGCCACGGGATAATAGGCTAAGACCCGGATCGACCAGGCGATGGCCTTCGGTGAATCAAACACGGTAATGGTGGGTTCTAGATTTTGTAATCTGAGTTTCGACAGTATGAATGCTACCTAATCACCTGTTTTGGGCTCCTAATCATCTAATTCCTTTGTAAAAGGTGAATCAGAGGCAGAGGACGTGAGGCGGCAGTACAAACCAAAAGAAAACCGGCAAATTCGACTGAAGTTGAGGTCGGGACTGAGTGAGTTTCCATTTCAAGAATCAAATATGAATTTGTGTTGCATATAAGATTATTTATGAGTTAGTGAGCTCGTTTCAGTATTTGTTGTGCAAGTGGGATATTTCATGATTTAAAGATGAGACAAAAATATATAAGCAGTCAAGTAAAATGTTGTAGCTAAAATCACATTCGTGTGTCTAGTTTGCATAACCATCGTGTTGGATGCTTGATGCTGGGATTTTGATGAGTCTAAATCAACGTTTGTCTTTGCTCCTCTCTGCATTTGCTGTCAGACTCCAGTGGAACATTTACATATTGTACTTTCTTGTTCATCACTGGTACGATCCAGCTTTTTTATGGTCCATGCTTTGTGTGAGGCTGCAATTGATTTGAGCAGTTGTGTTTTCATTACGGACAAATACATACCATGCTTGGGTTTAGTGATTTTGGAGCTTCTCTCTTCTTTCCTGAGTTCTTGATTGTACAAAGACGTCCATTTCATGTCCTTGTGCTAACACTCTTAAACAAAACATCATAGGAGATTTTGTTTTGTTTTTAGATGTGAACATTAGTTAATTCTAAGAGAAGAATCTGTGAATGCTTGGTTTGGTAAGAGTGCATTGGTGACTGTTATTTCTGTTACTTGGTTTGGACTTGATATTTGAAAGGTTAGAAGCATAGCAGTACAAAAGCTGGTTTTCCTCTCCTGAGTAGTAGCCATGACAGCGGATTCTAACTATATATGTTGCTTGCCTTTCATTCATTCCCTCAAAATGATGCATGAATTTGTTTGATAATCTGGATAAGGTGTATCCTAGCAAACTGAAAACCTTTATGTGCATGGTTATATACAATATCCTCTTCGTTGATGAGAGAGTTTGCCCCTTGTTGTGGTTCTTTTGTAAGGGAAGAAATAGCTTCCTTCATAACAGTCCCCTTTTGCATGATTTGGAAGTATTCTCTAAAGCTAATGGTTTTTTAAGGACTTTCTTGAGGTTCAGGGGCATGAGGACAGAATCATAAGCAGATGCGTCGAGGATCGCGGGAATTGTGAGTGGAAGAAACCTCGTATTGGTATACTGAAAATGAATACAGATGCTGGAACAAATGTAAGGAGTGAAACATTATTGGATTCAACTGCTGATATGGAGTTGGGACCAATTATGGTTTGAGTATGATTGCAAGAGTATTATAGATCGATTAAAATAGAAAGTTGACTGCAGAATAGAAATTTCCAGCGTGTGCAATGTTATTATGCACTGGGGAGTGGGGAGCAGGGGTTGATATTAAGAATTGGATGTTTGATTATCGATATTCGAATAATGTGGCAAATTTGCTCGCTCATTTGTTTGGTAACTCTAAATGTGTTAGGTCGATCAGTATGATATTCCCAAGGCGCTGTCTGATGTAATTGCCATTGAGGCCTCTCTTTGAAGTTTTAGTGTAAGGTTCACCAGCTGATTTTTTTAAAATTACTGGCGTTAACAATTTGTAAACATTGCACTCCCTTTGTCTCGTGAACGGAAAAACAAGATAAGGCATATCACTAGGATTTGTACCCGAATACAATGATTGAAAACTAAATGACAAGTCAGCACCTTAGCAGCTACACTACATGGATAATTTGATAAATGTGACCCCTTGTTTACTCCTATACTTAGAAGACTTCATACGAGAATCACGAATTAATAGAACATGATAAAATCCCGTCCTTTAAAAAATATTTATAGTATTTTTTTGCATAAAGTCACTGACACTCTGAATTTCTTTTATTAATCACAAGATTATGTTATAATAAATCGTTTAATTTCATCCTCCTAAAGAAATTTAACTAAATCATAAGTCACATTTGTTCATCCATATTGATGGGTAGCTTTCATAAATTTAATATTAGTAAGCGATTATGTATTGATGGGCTGAGGGAAAACAGATGTGAATCATCGTCAATGGGTTGTGATATTATGTGACAAATTGAATAAGAAAACGGTTTATAACAAGTAATTATAG